GTGAAACTAGTTCAGGGTCACACAGCAAGTGAAGTAGCAGCACTAGGATTTGGCTTTAGACCCAGCTCTCTGGTGGCAGGTAAGAGATGATGAGTGCTGAATACAGTAATAAAAATCATGATAAAAAATGATTAGAATATACTGACTAAGAATCATCACTTAATAATTATAAATAGTAACACAACAAATGTATAAATCATTAAGGAATATAATTAATGAGGTAATGACGATAACTAGTAATAACTGTTTTTGCAACCTTGCTCATGTTCTTGATCTCCTTTACCTTGCCGTTTTTTACCTTCATGCATACTACCTGCCAGATTTACCCATTATTGTTGGTCCCTCTTCCCCTATTGGAATACAACCACCATAAAGGTGGGGCTTTTTGTTTTGTTCACCAGTGTATCCCCAGTGCCTAAAATAGCGTGTGGCATATAGTCAGTGTTCAATAGATACTGTTGAACTGAGTTGAAGTAAATGTACTGAAATTTTACTATGTTCCACAAATGTTCTAAGAATATATTATTTATATCTGTACAAACAAAACTACTGCCTAGATACAAAGTATGAAACTAGTTCAAGGTCACACAGCAAGTCGGGTAGCAGCACTAGGATTTGAACTGGGGCAGAGCCTGTTACTCTAATAGATACCTCATTATTGCCCCTCAGGGTGTGCGTGTGTTCCAGAACTGTCCTAATGATCGAAGCAAAGTCTATTTCAAAATTATCAGCAGGAGGGAAGCCAAGGATGATCCCTACGTGTCTGGCCAGGGGAACTGGATGGGCAGTGGGGGTGGGGGAGGGGTCATTTGCTGAGAGAGAGAACAGAATTAAAGGAATTTATTTATGGGACTAGGTATGGCTCAGTTTAGGTATGCCTGAAATTAATTAGGCAACTTTTGAGTTGTTAGGTTAATATCAAACTTTCCATTCTGATTTTAGGCTATTTGCTGGAAACTCAGCTAGGTACTTCATAGTTAAGTTTTCATGGTAGCTCCATGAGGTGTTGTTATGAACCATGAGCCCCAAACTAAAGTTTAGGGAGGCCAGATTATCATCATCAAAGTGTAAAAGTCCAGACCTGATTCTAAAGCTATTATTTTAAATGTGGAAGATAACGTATCCGAAGTCTTAGCTGACAGTCTGTTTCTGGCTTGGAAGACCAGGCAGACTGTGCCATCATTAAGCAAGATATATTAAAATATGGAAGGAAAAGAGGATTCTGGAGCTATAAGGTAGGGAGAGTGGAATTATAAATCTGGTTTTAGATACTACACCTGAGATACCTGATGGATTGCTAGGCGGAGTAGTACAGCAAGCTCTTGCATCAATTTTGCTTACAAATCTGACAAAGGTGAAATATCAAACTTTATTTCCAAAATTAAAATATGTGAATTCTTTGGAATGACTTCTGAAATTCTCCTTTAACCAGAATTTAAGGCTTGGTGACTTCTAAGTGTAAGTCACCTATATCTATACATTTCACCTCTATTCTAAATTTTTCCTTCAGTAAAAGGTTCCCCACTTAGATGTTCTCCCCACAAAAATGTTCTATCATTCGCCTAATTTATTAACTCAAATTTGCTATTATTACTATTATTTTTTCAGCAAACATCTGATTGCCTCCCAGAAACAAAGTAGCAGATAACAATTCTCAACATGTCAAGGATTTAGAATTATGGTAAGAACTGTACCAATTCAATTTTGTTTGGTACAAACTGCAAAAAGACCTTCACATTTCACAATTCCACCTGAAAATTATTCTTTTTTGAGAATAGAATTTGGAATAGAATGTTGTTCTTAGAAGAACCTTTTCCTAAATTCCTAATTCTCCTAATATATAGGACACAACTTTTTTTGCAATCACAATGAGAATCCTATTTTCACAGATTTGGTAGAAAATTGTCTTCCCTATTAATGGTTTGGGATTACAAATTTTTACTGACATTTTTTAAAAAGTACCTTTTAGAGATAATTACTGAAATATTTGTAGATATCACCATTAGATATCTGAGTTCTGCATTCAAAAGAATGGAGCAAAAGGGAAAGTGGATGTGAAAAGAGACAAAACAAGACTAGCCATGGGTTGATGGTTTTTACAGCAGGCTGATAAGAATATAAGGGTTCACGGTACTGTACTTTCTACTTTTGTGCATGTTTGAAATTTTCTATGCATTTTTAAAAACTCAGAAGCTAGAAGTAAGTATGCAAGAGTGATAACATTTATGTTTGAGTGAAGGTACTAAAAATGTTTTTCCCTTATGTTTTTCTCTATATTCTCTGTATTCTTTTATTTGAGCATTTTTACTTTTTATAAGGACAAAACAAAAACAATTTTAAAGATTCTTACTGAGCTCATTCCTTTGTTCCTAGCTTTGCCCCTTTCTGTGTTAGGACAATGACCTGTCTGCATTTTATAAATTATCTGAAACAATACTGATTTGTCCTTTTCACAGTTACACATTCTGAAAGCTGTATACATGAAACTCTATCTTGCCCTTGTCCTTGAATTTAGGATTGTCCACTTAAGAGGCCTCGGGCAAGCAATTTAGCCTCTTTGACTCTCAATTTCTCTCTTAAAGAAGAAGAAAAAAGGCAAATTAAGAGACAAGTGACCTAAATGACAGATCCTATAAAGGGTTCACATCCAAAATATATAAAGAGCTCACACACCTCAACAAACAAAAAGGAAATAATCCAATTAAAAAATGGGCAGAGGAGCTGAACAGTTTTCTAAAGAAGAAATTCAGATGGCCAACAGACACACGAAAAGATGCTCCACATCGCTTGTCATCAGAGAAATGCAAACTAAAACCACAGTGAGATATCACCTCACACCAGTAAGGATCGCTACCATCCAAAAGACAAACAACAACACATGTTGGCGAGGTTGTGGATAAAGGGGAACCCTCCTACACTGCTGGTGGGAATGTAAATTAGTTCAACCATTGTGGAAAGCAATATGGAGGTTCCCCAAAATGCTCAAAATAGAAATACCATTTGACCCAGTAATTCCACTTCTAGGAATTTACCCTAAGAATGCAGCACTCCAGTTTGAAAAAGACAGATGCACTCCTATGTTTATCGCTGCACTATTTACAGTAGCCAAGATATGGAAGCAACCTAAATGTCCATCAGTAGATGAATGGATAAAGAAGATGTGGTACATATACACAATGGAATATTATTCAGCCATAAGAAGAAAACAAATCCTACCATTTGCAACAACATGGATGGAGCTAGAGGGTATTATGCTCAGTGAAATAAGCCAGGCAGAGAAAGACAAGTACCAAATGATTTC